TGAGGTGAAGCGCTTGGGTAAGGTTAGGTGGTACAGATATTAATATTCCTATCAGTGTAGGCTGCATGGAGAGATAGAGATAGAGAGAGAGAGAGAGAGAGAGAGAGAGAGAGAGAGAGAGAGAGAGAGGGAGAGAGAGAGAGAGATGATAGAGATAGATACAGAGAGAGAGAGATTCTTGAATGTCTCATCTTCCGCTGGAATACGGTCGACCTAGCAGGGACCACACTCAAAGAAAACTGACTCTCTGTCTCCCGGCAATTATCAATAGTCAGTAGCTCCTTATCATCCTCCACTCCCCCTTTGCATGCTGGGTTTTGTCTGTCTTGGGCTTGTTCTGCTTTTTGTGCATGCTGTATGTCATGGTTTGAATATGCTTGGCCCAGGGAGTGGCACTATTTGGAGGTGTGGCCTTGTTGGAGCAAGTGTGTCACTGTGGGTGTGGGCTTTAAGACCCTTGTCTTAGCTGCCTGTCTTCCACTAGCAGCCTTCACATGAAGATGTAGAACTCTCAGCTCTGCCTGCACTATGCCTGCCTGGATGCTGCCATGTTCCCACCTTGATGATAGTGGACTGAACCTCTGAACCTGTAAGCCAGCCCCAATTAAAGGTTGTTCTTTATAAGACTTGCCTTGGTCATGGTGTCTGTTCACAGCAGTAAAGCCCTAACTAAGACACTGTATCAACTTCTGTGAGTTCATACGTGCAACTGACTTGTTATGTTTGGAAAACACTGCCCCCTTATAGTCATCCACTGCCTCTGGCTCTCAGAATCTAACCATACCCTCTTCCACAGTGATCCCTGAGCCTTGGAAGAAGAAGTGTGATACTGGCATACCACGTAGGACTGAGCACTCTACAGTCCCTTGTTCTCTGTGCTTGAACCAGTTTGTCATCTCTCTCATAATCTCCATCTACTGCAAAAAAAAGAAGCTTCCCTTATAAGGGTTGAGAGATGCACTAATCTATAATAAGCCACATTCATTTATCAGGGAAATAGCAGTAACTTCTCCTCTGGGGCTTAGGCCATAGGCCTCTGATATCAGTGCCACATACAGTTTCAGTCTTGTGGAGTAGTCCTTAAATCCAATCAGAAAGTGTTTGGTTACTCGCATGACTTTGGTGTCACTATTGTACCATGGGTATGTATTGACTGGTCATTTATTATTGTAGCTCACAGGGGTCACAATTAGATAAGATTATGAATTACTTTTCTCCTCTGGTAGAATGCATGGCATCTTCCAGCACTACGAAAGCTAGTCGGTAGGGATAAAGCTTCCAGGTGGATACCAGCTTGATTTCTCCATGTTTTGTATAACTCGTTTGTGGTGGTCTTCAATAATAGGATCTTACCATCAAGTTCTGGAGAGTAATCAAGGGCTTGATGGTAAGACTGTAATATTTTGGGGCCCATCAGGCCTCACTGGCCAAGAACTTTAGAAGAGGTAACCCATTTCTGGCATTGGGGTTTATATTTGTAGGTTTCTGGTATTTAATAGGGAAATTGTTGCCCCATTATAAGGTAACTCCATATAAACACTACCATACAAATAGGAAAAAGCCTTCCAGGTTAGAGACTAGTCACCATAGAATGTTACCCAATAAAACGTAGAGACTTCTGCATGCTGTTATTACAGCATCGGTGTGACAGATCTCAACAGCCCTCAAGCCCATCACCATCTTATCTAGACCACTGACCACGCCTCTGCAGAAGACCAGAAGAATAGACTAGGGATTTAGATGGATCAAACCTTACAGGTTTTTTGTGAGATATTTTCTGACAATATTTAGATGTCTCAGTGACCAGAACAATAATCTCAGTAGCAATTCCCCTTGGGTGGGTTTGTTGGACAAGTTAGTATTAAATATTTTAAGACATTATCTAAAAATCACATTCATCTAATGCATTTTATTGGATGATATAAAATATACATGGATATTACAGAAAAACAAAGCATAGCACAGAAATGTGAAGCTAGCCCTGCCAACTCTGGAATGTGTGCATAAAGGAAAGGCCAGCAACCAACTGGCATTTTGACATTCGGGACAGGGCTTTATGCTAACACATTTTCAATTTGTCCAAATAGCCAACAGTTACTGTGTGCATGAACTCTCTTCAGGCAGCAGAATTTATTTATGCCTAGCCCACATATCCTTTCCACTGAACCTCTCTGGGGTATATATTTGAAATATTAATATATGTATCAAGAATTGTTATTTACACACTTGAGCCATATATTTGGATAAACAAAATGAAATTTCACACGGTAAAGCACAGTGATAACTACTATGGGTTATTTTTAGTCTCTTATATGAACCCTAACAGGTAATTCATGACCAATCAAAAGGTAAACAACACAGTATACTTATTCCTTGACAGATGACAGTCTGGCGTGAGGAGGTAAAAGCTAACCTCATATGGTTTACTGTTTTGTTTAGAGTTGCAGGCAGGCTAACTAGTAGCATAGCCAGCTGGTTGGTTGGTTGGTTGTTAGCATGGTTTGAGAATACGTTTCACTCTGTAGCCCAGGCTGGCCTTAAACTCACTATGTGGTCCCAAGTGGCTTCAAACTCAATCCTCTTGGCTCAGTGTCCTGAGGGCTGAGATTACATGAGTACGCCACCACGCCTGAAGGAAACAGTGTAACGTTTAAAACATATTAGGTGAGCCATTTACTCAAGCTGTTGCAAGAATATTTTTATGCCTTTTCCCCCATTTAAACCAGCATCTAATGTTCTTCCAAGTTTTGCTATTGATTGCTATGTCTCCTTTAATCTCTTGTAGTCTTGAATCAGCTTGTGCCTTGTTTGTGGCTGTATTATTTCTCATTCTCTCTTATTGTTGTATGGCACTAGGATTGTTTGCGGTTTTGTTTGGTTGTTTGTTAGTTTAATAGATACGAGCTGGGCTGCAGAGATGACTCTGTGCAAGCGTAAGGACCTGAATTCAGATTCCAGCTGGATCTGTCACTCCTCCCAGAGAGACAGAAGGGTGTCGGAGCTCAGAGGCTGCCAGCCTATGTCCAAGTTCAGTGATAGACTCTACCCCAAGGAAATAAGGTGTAAAGGGATAGGGGATGCCCCTGATGTCCTTTCCCTGCCTTCTCATACACATGCAAAGCACAGGCACCTGCACATACGTGTGCATACCTCTCTCCAGCTGTAGCTCTCGCTCTCTCACACACATACACACAAAAATCAGAGACAACTTATAAGTTTAGATTTCATATATTTAAAATAAGATAAACTGTCCAATAGAAAATGTTCTCAGAAGCCGGGCGGTGGTGGCGCACGCCTTTAATCCCAGCACTTGGGAGGCAGAGGTAGGCAGATTTCTGAGTTCGAGGCTAGCCTGGTCTACAGAGTGAGTTCCAGGACAGCCAGGACTACACAGAGAAACCCTGTCTCGAAAAACCAAAAAAAAAAAAAAAAAAGAAAGAAAAGAAAAGAAAAAAAGAAAGAAAATGTTCTCAGTAATGCTAAGAATATGATTTTCTGCAAGATATTTGTCCAGTGAAAGTTTTGAAAGACAGGAAAAACATATTTATGATAGAATCAAGACCACAAGAAGGTTCCTTTGCTATATTTGCTACATTGGTGAATAAAACTGAAGAGGAGTCATCCATCCTCTCAGACTGGGCTTGTATGAGAGATTTTGATTTTAAAGAACTGAGGTCAGCCCTGTTCACATGTTCAAAGCCGCCATTTGGAGCAGTAGTAAAAGCATGCATGTTTCTTACTATCCCTCAGACCTACGTGAGGGCTATTCAGAGGAGTCACTTTTTAAACTCTGTCACCTTTAGATGTCTCCTTCTGATCAGAGGGTTGTCTCCCTTCCTTTATTCCAGCAATTCCTAACAGCCTCAAAACCAAGGTGAATCAGAAACTGTGGGTTAGAAGTGGTACAGCTTCTAGTGTGTACAACCTGGCTCCAATACTAACCATGGACAACACTGAGTTAGTTCAACTGTTTCTGGGCCCTGGAAAGCATGTAAACAATTTTTTAAGACTCTACCATGTTATTGTGAACTCATGGTTACATTTAGCATGTGTGGATTGAAATGCTACTCAGAAATCTATGAACAGGTCCAGTTATTATATGTTACATTGTATGTAGACAGACAGAAAATAGACAGACAGACAGACAGACAGACAGACAGACAGACAGACAGATAATTTTTGTGGGACTCAAGAGATGGTTAACGGCACTTGCTACTCTTTCAGAAGACCTGAGTTCAGTTCCCAGCACCTACATCAAGTGTTTAACAATAACTTTTAAGACCAAAGGATCTGACTCTCATTTATGGTTTCTGCTGGTACTTGCGCACACACACACACCTAAATATAATTTTAAACAATATTTTAAGAAAACTTCTGCACATGGTTATCTTAAGATTTAAAGTCATCTGTAACACTCCAGCTCAGACGCTCAGCTGCTCTGAACTCTGTGTGCATATGTCCCAACGTAGACAAGAATCTAGGGATTCCTGTAGATCTTGATGTGCTGACTAATGAGGCAATGGGTGTTTTAGTGATGGACATTAATCAAGCATTTGTTTTTACATTCATTGATTCCTCTCTCTCTCTCTCTCTCTCTCTCTCTCTCTCTCTCTCTCTCTCTCTCTCTCTCTCTGCGTGTGTGTGTGTGTGTGTGTGTGTGTGTGTCTACACTTAAGTTACAAAGCATATGTACAGATCAGAGGACAGCTTGCAGAAGTCACTTTTCTTCCTTCTACCATGTGTGTCCCAAGGATAGAACTCACGACGTTGCCAGGCTTAGCAGCAAGTGCCTTTCCTTGCTGAGCCATCTCTCAGGCCCTACAGATGGCACTTTGGGAGACTTTTTTCACTCATGATATAATCTCACTAAGTCATCAGAGAATATATTAGTCACACACAATGGCTGAATTTCAAAAATATGAGGAATTTATGAACTGCATAACTGGAGAATCATATCACGTCCCTTAGTCCCTCCCTCCCTCCCTCGAGGAGGCAAATGATCAGTGCGGAAGTTCCACGTGGCACTGTGAGCAACTACCTTGCTCAGCAGCCTTGTCTTTGAGGCAGGCACAGGGAACAAAGTGGTGGTGGTGATGGTGATGTGAATGGATCAGTCTTTCCAGACACTTGATGATCTCATAGTCGGGAAGAGCGAGAGAGGTCACATTCAAGCCCAGCATACTGGAAACCACCTCCCTGAAGTCCGCCAGCTGCAATAGCAAGCAGAGACACATTAGCTGGGAAAGTAAAAAAACAAAAACAAAAAACAAAACAAAAAAAAACATACAACCATTGCTGGGTCAAGTGTAACAATAGAAAGAAAGGAACCCCCAGACTTGCATGAGATAGGCAAATTACCCACTCCAGCCTGAGTTCTCTGAATTATGAATGAGTAGGCTTGCCTGCTAAATAACCTCTAAAATCTCTGCAGGTTCCCCAAGCTTCAGCAGTTTCATCATCTCTTGCGAGTCAATGTGTGTATTTGCTACTGAGTCGAGGACCCCCCACCCCAGACAATCGTTCCTGAGACTTTGACCTCACTAAGTCCGTTCGGAAATCCTGGATGAGCAAAACAATTAACTGAGAACATGCTCTGCGGCCTGACAAGGAGCTTTACAAGTGTTGGTGTGAGCAGAGAAATATTTCTGCATTTGGGATGTTAGCAGGGCAGTGAGTTTCTGAAACTCAAGAGAAGGAGTAAGCTGTGGAAAACAGGAGTGCTTCTCCATCCTTAAACCAAAGACTGCTGCCTCAGTATGTGGTTCTAACACTGGGCTGATCTGAGGTTACTAGGTGTCTGTTAAGGGGAAAAGTAGAAGCCAGGGGCAATGGTTATCATGAGTCCCACTGTTGTAGTAAATATTATTTTGGAGGGTTGCTATACTTAGTATTTGAATACATAGCATCACCAGACCAACCCCGTATACATCACCTCTCTTCACGTTCTCCCAGGGTGGTTTCCGTTGCTCTAGGCTACCATGGGCAAAACAGGGGTATCTAGGGGTATCTAGGCAAGCCATCACTAAACACCTTCCATTTCAGAAAAGATAGCGTGCACATCAGGAAGGCAGCCTGCAGATGGAGCGCCATCAGGAGAACACGATCCAAACATGCTAACGCGTTATCTCCAACTTCTTTCCCATGAATGGCCCAGAGCAGGAGAAGAGAGGGTCTTATTTGTACATCACATCCTCAAAGTGTGTACTGAAACATTGTCCTCAGTGGGATGGTACTGGCTTTGTGAGCTAAGTAGGCTTGGTTGAGATCATGATGCCGGCTTCTCTGAGACAGAATTGGTGTTCTTATCAACGGATCCCAGAGCTTTTAGCATTGGAGGGTTCGGGAAGACGTCATGTGTAAACCTGACTCTCAAGCCTCTAGATCTAAGAGAAATAACTGCCCTGCCTATTATGAGCTGTCCCGATTCCCACACTTTGCTAAAGCACCTAAATAGAATAAGGTACCTGCCTAGTCTCTCAGATGCAAACGTTTTCCTCAGAGTTTCCCACCCTTTTGAATATGGCCAAAACTCACAATTCCTGAGATGTTTTCTTCCTGAGAACGCTTGCCCTTAGAGTTTGGCTCTTCCCAGCTCTGCCTGACACATGAGCCAAAGCAGAGTGGAGGAAAGAAAAAAAAATCCCTAGGACCAGAGTCCATCCTCTGCCCTTTTCAGCTTCAGAAAGTGACACACTAGTCAAAGGCAGTAGGGGTCAGACTGCCCGGGACAGAGTTCTTTATGTTTGACCTGATGTGTTCAGGAGATAAAATTCTCCCTGGAACCAGCCAGCCAGTGCGTACTTTTTTTATGGCTTACATCTGTGCTTGGTCAGTCCTGAAGTCTGGGTGCCACTGTGAGAGATTGGAGGCTGTTTCCTGCAACTGATCTCTGTGGGAGATAAAGCTTCTCTGAGTTCCAAGCCCTGCTTAACATTAAATGTGATGAGGCAATCTCCAGAGGCAATTATCAAATGCCGTTTAAAGGATCTCATCAAAACCAGACGATGGGTTCACACTGGCTTTCTAATGCTTCGATGAGAGTATTAATTTTTGTTTCTTTCTTATAGTCTATGTCATGAAGCATGAATTGCTGTTCTTGGCCAAGAAACTCATAATGGTCATTGGCATGCCAAAAAAGATGCCAGGGAGTGGGCAGATCTGTTGAGATGATATAGAAATCTCTACACATTGTGTTGGAAGAAATGTGTGAATAATGCTTCCTTTGGAGGCACATATACAAAATTAGAAGGCCACGGGAAGCTAAGCATGTCCCTGCACACAGATGCCATACCAGTTCCCAAGGCAGTCCATAGCGTTAAGTGTGTGACTATGCATAAGGCCTTTAAACCATCCTGTCATGTCCTGAAGAAGATTCCAGGAGCAGATTTGTATCTACCTGTTGTTCTCTCCTCTCTGCTTCATCTAGAGACTTCCTCAGGCTCCTCATCTCGATGCTGGCCACCTCTATCATGGCCCTGGTTCTTTCCTGGTTTGCTTGAGCCTCCTGCTCTGTAGTTTCCAGCTCTGACATGACCAACGTAAGCTTTTTCTCTGCGTTCTCCTTCATCTTCTCCAGCTCGTCTCGGGATTGATTTAAGTCTTCAATGGTTTTGGTCTGTTCCAAGGTTTTAATCTAAGAAATCAAGAGAATGACAATCATTTCCCTTGTACTTCCTTCGGAGAACTGGATACAGAGATAACTGGGAAGTCAATGGAATTTGTTTAACTTTTATGAATGAACAATGGACTTCATCCCAAGCAGCTAGGCAGACCTTAAAAAATGACATAGGTTGGATGAGCATGACCTCAGCTGTTAGAGCTTATAAACAATAGAGTACCCTTGTGTGACAAATGGATCCACTAAAATCGCAGACAGCATGGCTCTGGACTGAGATTGCTAAAAGAAAGCCTACGAGCCAGTTGGACTTTCTGTGCTAACCAGTGGACCCCTGTGCCTTGCAGATAATGGCAGCAGCAGAAGGCCTGCTCCTCTAGTGCTGCCACAGGGGAGCCCCTCAGGATGTCTCCCTCATTGCTGGGAGGGGGAGATCTCTATAGGCAGTTATTCATTCAGAAGGGTCTCCAGATGTGAACATGAGGCAAAAGATGTCATTGAAACCTATGCAGACAAAGGGCAGAGATGGTCCCCAGCTGGAGACTCACCCCAGGGCCTTAAAGCCCTAGTGGAGGCTCCTGGGATGGAAGGTGTGTCCTTGTGAGTTTGAGATCACACTGCAGCTGCTTATAACAGAAAGCAGGTAAGGAAGTGCCATATCCAGCACAGCTCCAAGGACAGACCCGATAGGGGAAGTGAGGGAATGAAAAGATGAAAAAGACAGACAGACAGACAGACAGACAGACAGACAGACAGAGAAAAGCTAGGATCAGGTGTTCTGTACTCTCTGCTGGAGAAATTGCATTACTTCAGAAGCTCAGCGTGTTTACTATATAGATTGAACAGAGAGGCGGAGCTATTGCACACAGCTGGACAAGAAGTTGGCTTATTTCATACAGATAAACAAGCAGGCAGTGGTTAAGGTATACGGCTGGACGGAGGAGACAGGTTTGGGTAATCTTGGTAGGAACAGTCTCTGTGGGGGAGTTGTCTTCAGGCTGTAAACATCAAAGGGAAGAAAGCTATGGTGGTCATTTTCTGCACACACTGCCGACAGCCACACTTGGACCAGTGAAAGACTTTGTCCTTCTTCCATGCGTCTGAAACTCTGAGTCTGTGGCCATGAATTACAACATGGATAGAATACAAAAACATCCCTGGGTGAATTAAGCCAGACACAGTGGAAAATGTGATAAAATTTTACCTATGAGATACATGGAACAGGCTAACTCAGACAAAGGCAACTGGAGTTACCAGGGCTGGGGAAAGGACAATTCCGAGAGTTGTTGTTCGATAGAAACAACTTTTTGGTTTGTGGTGATGGCAACTGCTAGAAATGGGTGGTAGTGATATTCTCACAGCCTTCTGGATGCACTCAGCGCTGCCAAAGCATATACCTAGTGACACCTAAGGTGCTGGGTTTTATAGTATGCCCTGTCATCAAAACATTAGGACATATGAAATAGTTTTGTAACAGCAGAGATTTGTAAGTGACTTTAAAACTAAATACAAGCCAGGCACGTTGTGGTAACTAGTCTGATGACTGATCCTTCACTGAGGAGTTATCTAGACCCAATTGCCCTGTGAGTATATCTATCCAGGAATGTCGATTGCCTTAATTGAGATGGGAAGACCCAGCCCAGTATGGGCAGTGCCATTACCTAGGCAAAGGATTCTGGGTATAGGAGAGGAGAGAAGCCAAGATGAGCACAAGCAAGCATGCATTCACACTTCTCTCTGCTCTTGATGGATGTTGTAGCACTAGATGCTTCAAATACTTGCCATCATGACATCTTTGCAATGATGGGCTGGAACCTGGAACCAAAGCTAAAATTAACCCTTATCTTGTAAGTCGCTTTTAGTTGAGCAATTTTATCACAGCAACAGATATAAAATTAGGATGGGGGTGCATTCTTTTAATCCCAGCACTTGAGAAGCAGAGGCATTAAGATGTGATGTCCAGGACCAGTCTTGCCCACACAGTGAGTCCAGGTCAGTCCGGACTACATAAAAGCTTACCTTAAAAAAATCCAAATAAATAAATACAAACAAGCTACAAGACAATAGCTGCTAAGATATTTAAATTTTTTTTAAAAAAAAGAAGAAGACAATTACAAAAGTTATCAGGAAGTTAGGGAGTTAGAACCCTCACATCCTGCTGGATAAAATACAAGATGGTGCACTAATACGAAAGGCAGTTTTGAAAATGCTAAATACATGACCAATCCATCAACTCCCTCCCATAGCCGTAAGCCAGAAAGAAGGAAAAACCATATGGCCACACAAAAAGTTTCATAAAAAGTTCATAGAGGCATTACTCACAATCACAAGTGGTGACCACCTAAACATCCATCAACTGATGAAAAGGGAAAATATAGTATAGCCAAACAATGAACTGCATTATAGAGCAAACAATGAACCCTAAAAACGTCATGACAAGAGAATGAAGCTGACTGCCAAAACCCACATGATCATCTTCTTATGAAAGAGACAGGGAAAAGGCTGAGGCTAGTGGGAAGGAGGAATTGGGGAGTTATAATTTATGGGTACAGAGTTTCTTTGGGTATGCTAAAAATATTTTTAACTTAGATACTGTTCAAACAAGGCTGTAAATATACTTTTAAAAAAACACAGAAATGCATATTCTGAAATGGTGGCACTCATTTGGAAGGTTCCAGAAGACTTTGCATGACTGAAGTGTGTGCTTTCCAAAGGTACACCTCTTCCTGAGTATCCTCTTCACAATCCACTCCATATCCACCCTCCTCTACAAGCTTCCACCATCATGATGTTCTACAGACATTCACAGAATCAAGCAATTGTAAACGAAAACTCTGAAACTGTGAGCCAAATACTTCTCCTCTTCACTAGGTTGCTTACATCAGGTGTTTGATCATAGAGACAAGAAAGCTGACTATCAGGAAGGACTAGATTAATCCCCAAATCAGACTGCTGACAGAAGTGGAGAGGCTTACAAGAATAAATTTGGACCACAGGTGGAAAGTGCAGTCAGGGGCTAGTACACTCACCTGGAGCTGGCCTTATCGATACATCTTCACTGTGACTGAATGGCTGATGCCACACAGTGCCCTGATCTAAGGTTCTAAGTATCCCATTAGTGAATAAGAAGAAGGCTAGAAAACTTCTCTAAGGCATGATTTGGAGGAAATGTGACTATTTGAGATACACATCAATGTCTAGCGGGACACTCAGACTTATCCAACTGGTATAAATTCAGGAAGTCTGCATCAGATGCCAGCTGTTAAACTCACAAATTAAAAACCAGTGTGACAACTTTGTAAAAAGCCAAATTGCTTTTGCTATGGTCTAAAGGCTTATACCCTCCAAAATTCAAGTAGCCAAGAAGCACATAAAGAAATGTTCAACATCCTTAGTCATCAGGGAACTACAAATCAAAATGACCGTGAGATTCCACCTTACCCCAAGCAGAATGGCTAAGGAAAAAAAAAAAGCCTCAAGTGACAGCACATGCTTGTGAGGATGTGGAGGAACACTCCTCAAAATTCTTACATCTTAATGCACAAGGAGATACTATGAAGAAGTGGGACCTTTAAGAAATGAACAGGTTCTTGGCCAATGTCAGATTCCTGCCAGGCAGCCCCAAAAGCTCTTCACATCTCCCCCTTTTTTATTGCACAAATAAGACTGAGCCTGTCTTAGGTTGTTCTAACAAGAATGTCTTCCTTACCCGTCATGGAATATGCATTATTAAAAGCAATGCACTTATGTCTTAGGTTGGTAAGGCTCTGTGCAGAATCTTACCCATCCTTGGCTTGGCAGCCTGTTAAATTAATAACTCTGTCTGGTGGTCCATTTTCAGTTTCAAGTCATGTACTTTGGCTGCCAACATGTTGATGTTGTTAAAGACAAACTTTAACACAAAGACAAGGAAATGGGCTGCTTTGTAGGAATCTGACATTGGCCAAGGACAAGGAAATGGACTTCAGGCAGGAATCTGCCATTAGGCTAGAACAAAGAAGTAATTTCAGGCAGAAATCTAAATCTTAAGCTAGAACTATGAAGTAATTAAAGGCAGGAATATAAATCTTAGGCTAGAACAAAGAAGAAGGCTTCAGGCGTGAAAATGACTTTGGGCTAGGACAGAGAAGTAGGCTCATATATTTCAGTCATCCTGATAAGGCCTTAGAAATAGTGATCACGGGACTGATCACAGGACTCTGTTTACTGTCTTGCTTGTTCTTTGACTATTGGTGTTTATTGTCGTGCTTGTTCCTTAACTATTTGCATTTATTGTATTGCTAGAAGCCTCAACCTAGAACTGACCTTAATACTTGCATGAAATTAAAATGGTATAAAAGCAAAAAGGAGGGGGGGGATGAGATAGGAGGTTTGGGGGGGAAGTAATGGGGAAAGGGGATAACATCTGAAATGTAAATAAATAAAATGTCCAATTTAAAAAGAAAAAGAAGTGAACAGGTTGAGTTTCAAGAGGAATAACTAGATACCTGGGGTGGTTTGATCATGAGTGGCCCCCATAGACTCATAATGGTTGCTTTGATAGGATCAGGAAGATTAGGAAGTGTGGCCTTGTTGGAGGAAATGTATCACTGGGAGTGGACTTTAAGGTTTCAAAAGTCCAAGCCAGGCCCAGGATCTCTCTATCTCTCTGTGCCTCTGTGTCCCTGTGTCTCTGTCTCTCTCTGTCTCTCTGTCTCTCTCTCTCTCTTTGTCTCTCTCTCTCTCTCTCTCTCTCTCTCTCTCTCTCTCTCTTTCTCTCTCTTTCTCTCTCTCCCCTCACCCCTCCACCTGAGGCTCAGACTGTAAAGGTCTCATAAACTTCTCTAACACCTGTCTTGCTTGTTACCATCTACCCCATCATGATGATAATGGATTAAGTCTCTGGAATGGTAAGCAAGCCCTCAATTAAATGCTTCATTTTTTAAGAATTGCCTTGGTCATAGTATTTCTTCACAGCAAAAGAACAGTGACTAAGATGCTTATATAACAAACAGAAACAAGGTGTTGAATGCCCTAAT